CATAACACCCCGAACACTCTTGAGGCTCATGTAAGTCAGAAGGATTTGTTGGATTAGTAATGCACTTAAAACTCCAGTGCAATTTTGACCATAGTTTAGGAGAACAGGTTAAATTACCACGTATTACATTGGTGGAGACGCAGGGTGAAGGCAGTGACGCAGGGCGTAAACAAAGTGTAACGGGCGTCACACTGCACCAGAGCAGGATATCCTCACTTTAACACACCAGCCGCCACATCATTATTCACTACAAGGTCAACCACTCTACAATCCTTTATTTCCCAGAGATCCGCGGCGATTATTGCACTGTACATACGCTCGGGTCAAAAACTTTTGCACACCTTGACCGAAACTAGCGAAAGCTCACTGCCGAGCTTAGTGGGTGTGGACCAGCCTGTAAGTGTTGGTGTTTAAGGCCCGCAGTCAGCGGCTGGACTGAGCAGCTTGCACGTTACAGCGGGTGGGTGTTGAGGTAGGAGGGGGCAGAAGGGTAGGTCATCAGTACTGTATGCTCCTTTCTCTGAACCACCATTTCAGAATACGCTACGATAAATTGCTCCTTTAGCTTATGTAAGAATACACCCAACTGGATAACTTAACCCAAAGATAACGTACAAGAAAATTATTAACTTGAGTGAGACTGTACCTTCAGTAGAAATGTTCACTTTCACCAGTTAGGAGACAAAACGTAAAGATTTATTCATTGTGTTGCTGTTAATGGTAAGTAAACGTCGCTAATTAAGGTACTCTCTCTGTGTAATGTTGATGATCTTGTGTATTACCTTAAGTCATCCAGTGAAGAACATTCCTACCACTCCTTTTATGAGGTTATTGATCGTATGAACCTTTGAGAATGTACTGACAGGGTGAGGTGGGGGGGGGTGAAGCTTTCACTTGTATTCCAGTTTTCCATTTTCTTATTATCCGTTGTACAGTATTTCCATTCCATAGATAGTAGTGTCTTTAAAATAGGCATTTATTATTATTATTGTTATTGTTATTATTATTATTATTATTATTATTATTATTATTATTATTATTATTAGTAGTAGTAGTAGTAGTAGTAGTAGTAGTAGTAGTAGTAGTAATAGTAACGGCATCTTCCACCATAACTACTTTTAATAACTAGGAGGGTGGAGGCACTTTTACTTTACTTTTACCTTTATCCTCTTCAACACTGACTGGCTCGTTAGCCGCTTGGGCGGTTGGTGACGTCTCTGTTACGCACTGTTGGCAAGTACTGGGCATGTACCGGCTCCTGAATGTAGTACCTGAACCTGCTCCAGTGTTGGTCAAGTCTGGTCTTGAAAGACCTCACACTCGGTGCCGTCACAACGCTCTCTGGCAGATTGTTCCAAGAGTTCACAACTCTCACGCCGAAACAATATTTTCCTGACAACGTTTTGAATTTGTGGCTTTAACCTGAGGCTGTGATTTTTAGTGGGGTGAGCATTCACTAGTTCCAGGTATGAACACTTGACTGAGTAATGTACGTACATTGAGGTGATTAAAGGCCTATATTAAGTCCGCCCTTACCCGCTTATGACATAAACTTGCCAAATGCAATCGTTCCAGTCTTTTGGACATTTTCAATCAACTCACAGTCTTTAGCATATCTCGGGGACCAGGCAGTACTCCAAACGAGGGAGTACCTGAATTTATAAGACCGTTATGAAGGATGTGAACGACCTTCTTTTAAAGCCTATGAGCTTAGTACGGAAGAAATCAAAACAAGAATAGGGCAAGCAAAAACAACATTTAATAAACTAAAAGAAACATTAACTTCAATTTGAGAAAAAGGCCGCTGAAATACTTTATATGGCAAGGACTGATGTATGGGTCAGAAGCGTGGACACTTTCAGCAGACACCAGCAAGAGGTTGGCGGCCTTTGAAATGTGGTGTTATAGGCGAATGATAAACACAAGTTACACTGGCAGGTTAACTAACGAATAAGTACTAAGATTAGCAAAAACTTCAAGAGAAATATTTGAAATGTACAGAAAAAGGAAAATTAGATAATTAGGTCATATAATTAAGGGTGGGGAATAATAGCAAATATTAATGGGTAAAGTTGATGGTAGGAAGGCCGGGGGGCTGGCATGAATTAATTAAATAAAAAGGTGGGTCCCCAGAGAGATGCAAAACCTTAGAGGATTGGTAAACACAGCCTCAGATGGGCACTCTGATTAATTGAGCTTAGTTGCTTTTTGCCTGATATACCTTTCCACAATGGCCTGAGAATCTTATATACTCGCAAATATAATTTCATCTTAACTGGGAGTGGTAACACCACCTGCCTGGCTGAGCGGAACACTTACATTACTCTAGCAACTAGAGACACCGCCTACCACACCCACTTGCATAGTCTCAGACTATTTTTGACGACACTTAACTAATACTTTCTCTAGTGTGTCATAAATGAACATATAGGAATCTGTGTGTTATCACTTAGGATGACACCGGTGCTGTGGGGGGAGACAGCTGTGACCCCGTATTGGGCTAAATACCGGGGTATGTTTTAAGGCTTGAATGCCTCCCGCCATCCTTGTAGGTCTCCCGGCGCCTTTGGTGAGTGAAAATAATTATGAAAGTGGGTCTCAAAGGACAGTGTGGATACACTAGGAGGCAGCGAAGCCGGCACTGCACTGGACCGCCTTTATTTCCCCAGCTGTAAAGTTAGTTCCCCATTTACAGTTGGGTGGACTGGGAGTGAGCCATCTATCCTTAGAACAGGAAGGCGAATCTGTGTCCACTCGGCCACCTCATCCTTTATGCGAGAGTAATGATTTATTTTAGAGGGGATACGAGATATCATGAAAGCAATATCTTATACAAATCAATATTTTTACCACAATGTTACAAACAAATGGTCATTGTGTACAACACTTTTGGTCTAAGTCTGTTGATAATTATTTAGGTGTTGGTGACATAAATGTTCAGGCGTGTGGGAACTATCTAATTGACAGGAAGAGCAAACTGACAAGGTGTACAACACTTTATGTTGTATACTGTACATTTGTGTATTATTAACTGGAGCAAGTTATAAATGGCTCCTGCAGGACACTGACTAGGATTTTGGCAGACCTCGGGAATATTTTGACGGATATGGAGAGTTTCATTACTTTTCGGCAATAATTTTCAGATTTTTTAATTGGTGTCATTACAAGACGTCCGAAAGAGTCAGGCATGATGGTTGTTGTATAAAGTATTTGTTACTGTTCACTTGTAGACACCGAATGAAGCTAGTTCCCCCCTCAGCCACAGATGTTGGGGTCACTAGTATTGGCAGCTGTCCAACACACGATTCGTTATGTCTTCCAGAAATTGGTTCGTAATTACGCGAGATAGATAGATAGATAGATAGATAGATAGATATTCAGTAAAATCGTCATGCAAGTGTACAGTTAGTTCAGCATGTATATACAGTAGACAACGCAGGTATATTATTTCCAGTGTTCAGTACCGAGACAGTGCAGGTATACAAAGAGTGATAAACAGTGAGGCAGTTGGACAAAGGACAGCCGATACAGCCATTAGATGGTTACGTTATTTCCAGCAGGATCCTTTGAGAACAGTGATTCATGAAACATGGGAGAAAGGATCAGGTGTTAGTACGGTCTCCTAGAGTGAGGGGTTGTGGTCCTTGACTCCCTTAACACCCCAGCTGTTGTAGGAGTTGATTATCTAATAAGTATGTGACCGCTGTGCTTGACCTGACAGAGGTTGTGGGTGTATCTGTGTTGTACAGTTAATGAATCTTTTATAATTAAGGCACAGTGTATAGATGGCAACATGCCTCTGGTCATCATAATGGCCAACAGTTTTGTCAACAATACTATAATTAGTTTGTTGTTCTTCAAGTCATGCTTGTGGGTGTGACAGCCAAGTGGGCACAACGCTCGCCTCCTGTCTTGGTTCGCTCCCAAGACACTCCGCAGTCTACACAGCCTTGAATGGGTTCTTATTTTACAGAACAGAAAATGAATGCGTTCGAGTACAGTGCCGGTACCACTGTCCGAAGGAAAGCTTAGTCTTCAGTATGATGTATACACTGACCCCAAAGGGCCGTCAGGCCTATGTGACTTATCTGTATCTCATGTTATCTTGGTGTACACTGCAGGCAGTGCAGGTCCCCTCTCTCTCTCTAGCTGTTCTGAACCTTATACCACATACCTCATTTATTACTACAGTCATCATTAAAGTAAGTGGCTTAATCAGAGTAACAATTGATAATAAAAGAACCATTGATAATTTATTATTGTTGTTACAAAAATAGTTAGTCTTATATAACAATAATAACAGTAAATAATAGATTATCTCTTCATGCAAGTTAATAATTATTTATCCTAAGCCATCATTGGGAACATTTTATAAATTATAAAATTCTTAGAAAAAGTTAGTTAGACAGCGCATACGAATGAACCCGTGTAAACTTCATTAGTAATGATGGCTGCCAACTTGGAGTGACAGAACTGAAATTTGACTGTTTAATCTTAAAGTTAACCTCCATGTTTGACCTTGACTTCCATCTCCCAAATTGTGTGCGATTTTGTCGACCAAAATTTTATTATACCTGGAAAAAGTTGCTTATGTTGTTTTTCATAGGTCACGAGATTAGGCGAAATCCCTGAGGATTGGGAGGAATACGATCTTTAGATTTTACTTGTGACATTTGATATTCCTTCCACAATTTGTGGCGCTCATTTCTTGGTCATTAGTCAGCCTACGCGATTAATTTTATCCAGAGCAGTCAACCAGGTTGGAAGACATTTAGTGTATGGGGAGAGAGGCGGGGTGTGGGGGGGATGCTCGTCCACTAGGCTCTGGGTTAGGATATGTCTAGACGTGTTGATAAAAAACAGAGATAGACGGTAACTCTTTTAAAATGAAGATGGCAGAGATTATATTCCTCATGGTCTCCGTATCTGGGTTATCGTGAATATTTCATGTGTGGACCTTGGTCAGTGGAAGACTATTTAAGGCCCCCCTGGCCCGGGCAGGCCCACTCCTGCCCCGGTGACGCTGGTGGACAGGCCGTCGTGACACGTTAACTGTGTGTATGTGAGCCAAGTACACCTACTGGATGTAAACCACTTGTCTCACCGACCCCACACAGACACTCAAGACGTCAAGGTGTTGAGAGAACATACCAAGTGTTGCGGTGTTTAGCAGGAGACAGTTTAGTGTTGCGTAGCCTCACAGAACACACCTACAGTAGTGCCGTGTAAACTTGCAGGATTCAAGTGTTGGGTAGCTTGACGAAAGGCCTTTATTGTTGCATAACCTTGTAGGACACACCCATTGTTGCCTGACCTGGCAGGACACACCAGGTGTTGCGTAGCCTCATAGGAGGCGACGCCAAGATGAAGTTGTTGGTGGTGACACTGCTGCTGACTGCCGCCGTCCACGCAGGTCAGTTTACAACAACTTATCTGTCTTCCCACCTACAGTATAAACCCGCCTCGTGACTCCAGAGGTTACATGGATCATTACCTGTGTCAGGTTACCCAGGTATTGTACTGGTACACATAGTACAGATGTAGGAAAGGTAATCCAAGAGAATTTACGGATCTTCGTTGCCAGTGAACACCAGATAATGAGTCTAACACTACATGTGTATGTGTTGTCTCCCTGACAGGTGGTGAACTATGTCCTTAATGTATTGTTGCTGTTAAGTCAGAAAACTCTTCTTCACCTTCTGTCATCTATACAAACACAACCACCTTTGTTTCACACACTGATTATCCTCACAACGACGCTCTGGTAGACTGTACTGTACTGTAGGCAACCCACTAACAACTTATTAAATTAATTCATATTAATGAGTTATGTATTAGCTTTGATTCTTATATAACCAACTACCAACAAGTAAACTATTATATACCTATCATTATACTGACACAGGCTGACAACCTGACACACCACACCTGACACAGGCTGACAAACTGACACACCACACCTGACACAGGCTGACAAACTGACACACCACACCTGACACAGGCTGACAAACTGACACACCACACTGACACAGGCGACAACTGACACACCACACCTGACACAGGCTGACAAACTGACACACCACACCTGAACAGGCTGACACACCACACCTGGCACAGGCTGACCCTGACCTGACACACTGACACACACACACCACACCTGACACAGGCTGACAACAACTGACACACCACACCTGACACAGGCTGCCAGCAACACACACCACACCTGACACAGGCTGACAACAACTGACACACCAACCTGACACAGGCTGACAACAACTGACACACCACACCTGACACAGGCTGACAAACTGACACACCACACACGGGCTGACAACAACTGACACACCACACCACACAGGCACCTGGACAGGCTGACAAACTGACACACCACACCTGACACAGGCTGACAACAACTGACACACCACACAGCACAGGCTGACAACAACTGACACACCACACCTGACACAGGCTGACAAACTGACACACAACACCTGACACAGGCTGACAAACTGACACACCACACCTGACACAGGCTGACAACAACTGACACACCACACCTGGACACAGGCTGACAAACTGACACACCACACCTGACACAGGCTGACAACAACTGACACCACACCTGACACAGGCTGGACAAACTGACACACCACCTGACACAGGCTGACAAACTGACACACCACACCTGACACAGGCTGACAAACTGACACACCACACCTGACACAGGCTGACAACTGACACACACACTGCTGACAACACCACACACACCTGACACCTGACAAACTGACACACCACACCTGACACAGGCTGACAACAACTGACACACCACACCTGACACAGACAACTGACACACCACACCTGACACAGGCTGACAAACTGACACACCACACCTGACACAGGCTGACAACAACTGACACACCACACCTGACACAGGCTGACAAACTGACACACCATACCTGACACAAGCTGACAAACTGACACACCACACTGACACAACAAGCTGACACACCACACCTGACACAGGCTGACAAGCTGACACACCACACCTGACACAGGCTGACAAACTGACACACCACACCTGACACAGCTGACAAACTGACACACCACACCTGACACAGGCTGACAAACACACCACCACACCTGACACAGGCTGACAACAACTGACACCACACCTGACACAAGCTGACAAACTGACACACCACACCTGGCACAAGCTGACAACATCTGACACACCACATCTGGACACAGTCTGACACCAACTAACACATCACGCATGACTCAAGCTGACAACAACTGACACACCACACCTGACACAGGCTGACAACAACTGACACACCACACCTGACACAGGCTGACAAACTGACACACCACACCTGACACAGGCTGACAACAGCTGACATACCACACCTGGACACAGGCTGACAACAACTGACACACCACACCTGACACAAGCTGACAACATCTGACACACCACACCTGACACAGGCTGACAACAACTGACACACCCACACCTGACACAACCTGACAACTGACAAACCACTCCTGGACACAGGCTGACACCGACTACACCACGCATGACTCAAGCTGACAACAACTGACACACCACACCTGACACAGGCTACACCAACTAACACACCACGCATGACTCAAGCTGACAACAACTGACACACCACGCCTGACACAAGCTGACAACAACTGACACACCACACCTGCACAGGCTGACAACAACTGACACACCACACCTGACACAGGCTGACAACTGACACCACACCACACGGCTGGACACAGGTTGACAACAACTGACACACCACGCATCACTCAAGCTGACAACAACGACACACCACGCCTGACACAGGCTGACAACACCGACACACCACACCTGACACAACCTGACAACTGACACACCACTCCTGACACAGGCTGACAACAACTGACACACCACACCTGACACAGGCTGACAACAACTGACACACCACGCCTGACACAACCTGACAACTGATACACCACGCCTGACACAGGCTGACAACAACTAACACACCACTCCTGACACAACCTGACAACTGACACACCACGCCTGACACAGGCTGGACAACAACACACACCACGCCTGACACAAGCTGACAATAACTGACACACCACGCCTGACACAGGCTGACAACAACTAACACACCACGCCTGACACACCCTGACAACTGACACACCACACCTGACACAGGCTGACAACAACTAACACACCACGCCTGACACAACCTGACAACTGACACACACCACGCCTGACACAGGCTGACAACAACTGACACACCACGCCTGACACAACCTGACAACTGACACACCACACCTGGACACAGGCTGACAACAACTGACACACCACACCCGACACAACCTGACAACTGACACACCACGCCTGACACAGGCTGACAACAACCAACACACCACGCCTGACACAAGCCTGACAATAACTGACACACCACGCCTGACACAGGCTGACACACCACGCCTGACACAGGCTGACAATAACTGACACACCACACCTGACACGGACAACACCTGCACCACGCCTGACACAAGCTGATACACCACGCCTGACACAGGCTGACAACAACTGACACACCACGCCTGACCTGCTGACAACAACTGACACACCACAACAAGCTGGACACACCACACGCAAGCTGACAACAACCTACACTACACCTGAGCTGACAAGCTGACAACAACTGACACACCACACCCACACAAGCTGACAATAACTGACACACCACGCCTGACACAAGCTGACAACAACTGACACACCACGCCTGACCTGCTGACAACAACTGACACACCACACCTGACACAGGCTGACAACAACTGACACACCACACCCTGGACACAAGCTGACAACAACTGACACACCACGCCTGACTCAAGCTGACAACAACTGACACACCACACCCGACACAGCGACAACAACTGACACACCACGCCTGACTCAAGCTGACAAACAACTGACACACCACACCTGACACACCACACCTGACAACACGACACACCAACTCAAGCTGACAACAACACCACGCCCTGCACAGGCTGACAACAACGACACACACACGGCTGACAACAACTGACACACCACACCTGACTCAAGCTGACAACAACTGACACACCACGCCTGACACAGGCTGACAACAACTGACACACCACACCTGACTCAAGCTGACAACAACTGACACACCACGCCTGACACAGGCTGACAACAACTGACACACCACACCTGACTCAAGCTGACAACAACTGACACACCACGCCTGACACACGCTGACAAATTGACACATCAGACCTGTCGAATCCCTAGAAAGAATTCAGAGGAGAATGACAAAACTAATCCCGGGCATTAGGAATGTTGAGTACAGAGACAGGTTAAAGCATCTTAATTTACACTCCCTCGAGAGACGTAGAGCGAGGGGCGACACGATAGAGGTGTATAAATGGAAGTCAGGGTTAAACAAAGGAGATATAACAAAGGTACTCGAACTATCCAACCACGAGCGAACTCATGACAATGGTTTTAAATTAGACAAATTTAGAGATGGCGCGAAATAGGTAAACATTCGTTTGGAAATAGAGTAGTGGATGAATGGAACAAGTTAGCAAACATCACCATGAACTCGAATACGCTGGATAGCTTTAAACATAGGTTGAATGGATATATGAGCGATAGGGGTTGGGTGTAAACGGGACTGCCTAGTATGGGCCAATAGGCCCGCTGCAGTTTCCTCTATTCCTATGTTCTTATCACAAGTTGATAATAAGTTAAAAACTGACAGACCAAACCTGACATGAGCTGACAACAAACTGACACGCTACACCTGTCACAAACTGACAACAAACTGACACGCTACACCTGTCACAAACTGACAACAAAATGACACACTATCTCTGACACAAACTGACAACAAACCCACACAATCTGACAACAAACCCACACAAGCTGACAACAAACCCACACAAGTTGACAACAAACCACACAAGCTGACAACAAACCCACACAAGTTGACAACAAACCACACAAGCTGACAACAAACCCACACAAGTTGACAACAAACCCACACAAGTTGACAACAAACCCACACAAGTTGACAACAAACCACACAAGTTGACAACAAACTCACAAAAGCTGACAACAAACTAACACAAGCTGACAGCAAGTTGACTTAACAGCCACCACCCGGGTGGTTGATGTGTCATCCTCAACCCACGCCCACGTGTATCAACCCACGCCCACTTGTGTCAACCCACGCCCACTGGTATCAACCCACGCCCACTGGTGTCAACCCACTCCCATTTGTGGTAACCCACGCCCACTTATGATAATCCACCCCCACTGGTGTCAACTCACGCCCACTTTTGTCAACCCTCGCCCACTTTTGTCAA